TCGGATATTCACCCCCTCCAGCCGCCAAGATTCGAAGGTGTAATAAAGAGATACGACGTCGTAAATATACAAGCTGCAACCCTTCTGGACATTTATCACTTTATTACCTTCATCGTTTCTCGCGACCCCGTGTGCCACCTCGGGCAAGAGCCATGGAAATCTGCTGCTGGGCACCGACAACGAGCCGACATAATGCGAGTTTTTATCGTCGATTGTTCTCCCTGCCACTTTGGCCTCTCCCACCCCCCTTACTATCGTCGATGAGGTGCCTTTTGTCGGTGGATCGTCTCGTTGAACAGCTCTCCCTCCCTGAATATACACTGGTGACCGATAAAGTGTTGCCGAAATTCTTCTTGTAAATAACCTTCGTGACAATGGCTGTGATGCTTAATTGTAAGGGGAATATAATGTTTATAATGAATAATTAATTTCGAAGGATTTACTCTAGTAATTAGTACTTTGTTTACTATTTTTGTGATTTCTATTGTCAGATTGAAGAACACGCCCCTCGTAATTTCGATAACTAGTCACGCCTGACCGAGTATGGATCTGTACTACTAGAATTGTCCCAACGGAGGCTGGTTGTGTCTTCTACTTGAAATGTCCTGACCGGTATATGGACCCAGTTCTACTATCAGCGAAATGACTCAGGCGCTGATGTATTCAATTACCGTTGTCTGCCTCGACATCGACATGTTCTACTGGATATATGTGTGCCCGAGTAGATGAAGTCCTCTTGGGAACGCATGGCGGGGAATTGGTATTGTCACGCTGGAGATATCACAGTCGGGACGATTGCATTTTGCTGATAATGTCTGAATACGCGATAGTTATTTATGGGCAGCAAAGGTTTCACCGAAGATAATTTAGTTCGGAAATATCTTCTGATGAACCAAGTGACTTTTGGATACACCGTAGGAACTACGAATCGAGAAGAGAATATACAGCTAAAAGGGCAAGAAACGATTCGTATAGCCGCCTCCACCTGACAGGTCGACAACGGATGCAGGTGCGTGTAACAGCCGGATATGTTTTAACACGAACGACCTCGGGAAACGTTCCCGCGCCGGAGGAGTTTCCCTCCACCCGTGACCTATCGCCGAGACTCAACGGAAACCTGCAAGAGAGAGGCTTCGAGCCGGGGCTGTCTGAGCCAAGCTCTCCTCGAAGTTACGAGATAGGAACCATACGCTGCGGAGGAATGGGGCGCGCGTGCTGTCTTGTGGCATTTAAAAAAATTGGGAAAGAGAAACACAGCCTGACGAAAAATCGGACCGATAAATTTCCGGCTTCGCTACATGGAATAACTGTACGTTCTGAGTTTTCAAGCTGCTAGTCGGAATTATCCGTTCTGCTGGTTGTTCTGGCATTCCTCCGGAGGATACTGGACTGCTGAAAAATTGTGTTGGAAACATTTTTTCTTCTTGTTATTCGCACAAAGCTTGTATCTCGTATCTCACAAGAAAATTAAAAAAAAATTGAAATACTTTTGTTTTTATAAAACTGTTGAATTTTGAAACTGATCCGACCAGTAGAGATTTTCTATTCTAATATTCAGGGGTTATTACTATAAGATTCAGGGTCTTCAAAATTTATCAGGTATCGCACTTCGCAACTGTTACAGATTTTATTGAAAGTGTGTATGACTGATGGTCGATCTATTCTACTGACAACCGTCTGGTCCAGTGCTGATATAGATCACTAGCAGTGTCTCGAGAAGCACCGTCTTAGTCTACTGGGAATTAATTACAACAATCCTATTCTACAACTACTGTGTACGTCTGATTATGAATTGGCACATTCTACTGCAGATATTCGTAGCTCTATAAACCTCTCTATGGCCCTGGAATGTGAATTTCACTTAATAATCAGAAATAAAAATTCTTAATAATCCGTCGTCCAACTATTAACAAACGAAAAATGTTATAAAATTTTAAAATAAAATATTAAAATGTCAAAGCTTTAATTGGCCTCATAATTTAAACCCTAATTAAAATTGCGTTAATATTCCACGAGGAGAACCTTCTGCCTCGAATATAAGTCGTCTAAAGCGCAATTTCCACTGGAAGCGTTAAACGATCGGTCCCCCGATAATCCTGCCATGCAAATTAGGACACTTAGCCGGTTCCCCGAAAATTTCACCCTTAAACTATATCAGCTCGCCCCGACGAAGGCAGAGGAACACAACCCCACGGAACGTAATCCCGACCACCGAAAGCGTTTACCTGTGATCCATCCCTGTTTGGATCAGGACCGTGGCGACGCACGATAGACTGTTTAAGATACAACGAGGCAGACACCGATGAATTGGCCCCATTATTCTCTCCCGCGAAGAGAATTTCAGTCGATCCTACTGGTTCCCACCGAGAAAGTCTAAAAGAAGAACAGAGTCGAGTCCTCTTTCTCCCTGCTGTCCGATAGATCCTGCAATTAATGTCTTTCCCTTCCGGCTGACAGATCCTACTTTGAACTAGTTCGTCCTTTTCAAACAGAAAGAACAGAAGTCGTCGTCGTCAACCTTTGTTCTAAGTGAATACTCCGATGGTTATCGTGGGATCGTTATTATTTAAGAACTTCTGTTTCAACCGACTCGTTTGTTATATCAAGGTAATAGAATCGGGACCTTACATTGTTGGTTATAATTCTCCGTGTTCAAATCGTTCGAACACTCATCGATGGTTTACAGTATCGCGGTTTTTTTTAAGGATTTTCGATGATCATTTTTCCACGTAAAATAACCTCCTTTGTCCGAGGCTGTCACCTACCCTCTGAATCGTGCAAAAAAAATAATAAGCAGATTGAATCTCTGAAGAAACTGTAAACTATCTAAGCAATAACGACAGGATTAATGTTATCCGCTAACTCGATTATTTTCTTCGCTGTTTTACGACGATGTCTGCAATTTCTGCATACAATATGGCGGACCCTGACCGACATTTCCCGATTTCCTGTGCAGATCCCAGCATCCTCCCGGCAATATCTTCTCTAATCGGTCGGTTTAGGGCCGGGAAAGAGGGACCCAATAGCGATAAAAAGATCCCTCATTTCCGTATCTGGGACAGGGGTGCGTGTTGGCGATGGTCGTTTAATACGATTCTTTTCCCACACACCGCACTAAAGTCAAAATGAAAAACCGTAAATACTTTACCGCGTGCGCGCGTCCAGCACGGGGCGGGAAGAACGGGACGATCGTTAAATTTCATTTTACGAGATCACATTACGCGCCTGGTAAAACGATTTCTCGAGCCTTCAAAGCTTTTTCTATCTTTTCCCACTCTTACGATCCGAGAGAAACGTCTCACGACGACAGAAGCTTGGACGAGCGTGTAATTCCATCCGGTTTCGCGCGATCAAACACACACACAGACACCGGCAGAGCCGAAAATTCGGTTAGAACCATCATCCCCCAAAACTCGCGGCTAATTCGATTATATCGTGAACTTCAGTTTGGAAATAATTCGATTCATTATGGGAAAGTCGTTGTTTCGACGACGTGACGCGTTCACTACGTGGAAATCGACAATTTCCGCTGGGATTTTAACGATCGATCCTCTTTTAATATGGATTACTAAGAAGAATATTTTGTTCAACACATTTAACGTCACTGAGATTTGCATAGCGTTGCTGCAATAATTTTTCGTTAATCAAAGATGTTTTTAAATAGAAAGGAAGTTGTGGAAATTTTAAGTGAACTCAGTACAACAGACAAAGTGACTCTAGGATGGCATACCTACAGTTTCGATACTAGGAATATTTTTCATTGTTTGGCAAAGACTGTCTGCCACAAAAATTATGACCGTTTTGTAACAACACGTAACAAATTCAAATAAAAGCGCTTCTATGATTTCAATGGTCGTAAATAAGAAATCTTAAGAGAAGTTTGTATATACAAAGTATACCAGAAATAGGTGCAGAAACTTCCAAAGCATATTCTACTCGTCACGAAAGGTGAAGAAAGGTCCTACAAACATGGCTCCGAAAATACTTCACTTCCGTGCTATAAACACTGTGTTTACGATGGAATTTGGCAAGTTCACAAACGTCTACGGTGCGAATTTTCCAGGACCATATATTTCCGTTTCGCGAAACAAACATATTCGTAATACTCCAGGAATGTTTCGAACATATTCCGATCCACGAATCGCCGACGCTCGTATTCCTGGCTACGGAAGGGAGTCGCTTTCAGCCATTTCTTTTTTACGAATTAAGAAACAACGATGAAGTGTCTATATCTCGAAAAGTGAACACTTCTGACCATATAGATCGGGCATACATGGCTTATATTAGACGTACCAATAATTAATCCACCATTTCTTTAAATTACAAATTTATTTCGGTGTATTCCACCTTAACCAATAACTGGTCAGCTGAAAATCTTATTACCGATAAGCCATAAGTTACGACACAACTAGTTATTTTGCATTTTCATATAAGAAGACGTCGAAATACGATAAATTAATAAGTAAAATTAAATTTCTCTTTAAAGGACTAATGAATAAAAAGAAAATATTCATGGAGTTCCGTAGACCCCGCCTTACCAGTTAAGGGTTAAAAAACATTTTTCAGGCCATTTGGTGAGTAAACATGGCGTAGGATGTTGAAACACCATTATGAATGCAAACGAAGCATTCTAGATCCTCGAGTTTCACAAAGACTGCTATTAATTTCGTGAAGTAATAGTGTATTACATATTGGTACACCTAATAGATCTTTCTTGATCCTTACGAATTCCCCACTAAAGTTTTCCGCACCTGTTTTTCTTTTACACCTCTATTTAAATTATCACAAACTATAATTTCGTAGAAAGACACTATCTTTACGATCTCGCACGACAGACCGTAGATCCATAAAAACAAAACAGAATTTTCAAGATGTTCAGACCTCACAGATCCAAGAACCTCCTTCAGACAAGATCCACGAAGAATATTCCCGTTCATGGTCCCACGGACTTTCCCCCATCCCGCGATACACGATTATCATTCGAGAACCAAAAGACTCACCGATGCAGGCGAAGAGCGCCGCGAAGAGGAGCGGCGGGAAAGCTCTCGAGGACGAAAACATCCTGGTGTACCGTTGGTCACGGTGCTCTGGACGCGAAGAAAATGCTCGTGCGGATGATTCTCGCGGGCAGGAGCCGCCCCAATGGGCGGGTACCGTACGTTCGTCCCGCGAAACGTAAAACAAAACTCGAGGGGAGGGAACAAGGCACTCGGTTCTTCGACTCTCTTTCAATCACGGTCCCCTCGATCCTTTCAAATTCCTCGATCTCACGAAAAATCTCCCGGTCGAATCAACCGAAATCACGAACAAATGATATCGATGATCCAAAATCTTGGTGACTTCTTCTTGAAACGATCGAAACGATGTCCTCGAGAATCTATCTTTCTAATTTTTATTTCCCTTGGTCTCTGGTTCTTCGTTTTCTTGTGATCAGCTCGATTTTTACGGTTTCGTTGGTTGTTTCGAGTGTGTTTTGTTTCGGAATCTATTTTTTTTTTCTAAAGATGACACGAATCGAGAGGATCAAACGAAATCGCAACGGTGTCGATCGGTGGAGCACGTAAAAGGCGCGTCCCCCAACACGTACGTCTGGTGCGGCGCCGCCGTCGAACTGAGTTCTCAACGTTACGCTGCAGCGCGCAGTGGCGACGCGACGCGCCATCCGCGTCGCCGCACGCGCTTATCATCCGCACCTGTGTGTGGCCCCCTAGCCCCCCTCTACCCCCTTGGGACGAACTGTTTTCGAACGTGTGTGTAAGTGGTGTACTCGCCTGCATCCCCCCCGTAACTCCAAATCCTCCACACCCTGTACTTTCAATGGGAATTTCGCGAAGAAATACCGCGAATCTTCTGATCCCTAGAAAATGTGAATATCGAGATGGTGGTCGGGGAGAGATGGTAGCTGGATTTTTTTCGGTCGGAAAAGTCGACGCGATCGGACCGAGTCGAATGTAAGGAAGTGACGGGGGGAACGTCAGAAATCTCTGATAAAGTTTTCGCGTGTACGAAATCTCATGATGGATGCCAGGCAGCGCAACGTTGCCCCCCGTATAATGCATACGCGGACAAAGTGTACACGAAGGCCGATAACTGCCGCGTGAATGCACACTGTAATAATGTTAATGCAACTCGATATGTAAACGGTGGATATCTACAGGCACGCAGGGAAATTAAACGCATGCCTGCCTGTATTCCCCACTCCTCGTCGAAGAAACATGGACCGAACGTGGTGATTTACCCTGTCGATCGGTGGGAGTGAATACCACGAGGCTACTTTCCCCACCTGCTTTTTCCTCTTTGTCGTTGACGTTATTAACCCCTTTCGCGTTTGAATTATGGCTCTTGGTACTGCGTTGAATGTTTTAAATATTAAATTCAATATTTCTTTATATAAAATGTTATATGTATATCGCACCCACCACACGAGAATAGTGACGCAAGTGAAAAATGTTTAATACTATTTATGTGTTATTGCTAACGCAGTAAAGCCTCTAATACAAAATTTGCAATTCTGTTTCCCTTTAACTTTTAAATATTCGTATTTAAAATTGTGTATTTATATGAATTTTCGCAGTTTAATGACTGAGAATAAATGTACGACCGGTCATCTTTGATCGTGAAGGAGAATCGATCGAATTGAAAAATTCACGTGTATCTTGTAAAAATTGCATCCACTTTTATTGTAATTTTTGGAATCTAATTTATGACTGCCGGATTGAACGATGGTGAACTAATAAACACAGACAGTGAATAATTATCCACGGGAAAGTGGCGTATTTAACAGAAATATAGGGCACCAACGGTCAATTTATTTTAATAAACTGCTCTCCGCGCGCTTTTTATTAATCGTTGCTTACGCTGTTTAATGAAACTTTACGTATCGGTGCGTGAACATTGCGGGCGGCTTTCGCAGCTGCATGGAAAAATACGATAACCAGGGAAACTCTGACAGCGACCGACAACGTGATAATTAAACGAGTTTGTTGGATAAAATGTTACGAAACCGTTAGCCCGCGTTACACCGTGACCTGTAACTAAAGTCGCTTTAAAATTTACCTACATAATAACAATAAACGTCCTATTACGATATATGATAATTAGGATACATAATAAAATTTCAATAGAACAAAAGGAATAGATACTGTACGAGCATAAAATAGTGAAGATGAGCTTGTTATGTTTAAACTTGACTAAATAATTTTGCTTAATTTTCACACCAAAATATACTACTAACAATTTTCGAATAAATTCTCCCGAACTATGAAAAAATAAACATGAAACTAACGAGTATATAATTTGCACTCAATGTTGATCAGGGGTCAAAAATCCGTTCATTAAAGATCAAAGTGTTGTTAATTAGATTGCCAATGTTTATAGAAATATAGACTTTACGGGATAAATTTACAGAAACTTGAATAAAATAAAAAATTCTCTGTTCTATTAAGGATTCCTTTAGGTTTTGAACTAAAATAAAAATCTCATTGAATTTCATTAAACTTTTCACTATGCTGAATTTATTGTAGACATCTGACTATGCTATAAATGCATAACATCCGCAGTATATAACCTATCTAATATGCTACAAAAAGATTGCTGTTCGAGTTCGTTCAATTTCTTAAGAAGGGACCACCGGGAAATGCGTCTTCTAGAGTTTAAATAAATCCAAAGGAACGACCAACAGTAAAAGAAAATCGGACCGTTTTTATGAACTATAAGGAGGAAAATTGCGAAACTGGCCCGCCCGCCCTATAGAAACCACCGGCGTGGTATGCCTCGCAGCGTTCCGACGAACAGAAAAACAGCCCCCGTGTCCCTTTTTCCGTCGGTGAACTTATCGCGCGACTGGTCTATTCTCCCCCTTTTATTTTCCCCGTTCTGACCCGCATGGCTACCACTGGAGAACTCACAATATCCACCCTCCAATTAAAAGGGTGGAATTGGATCGCGTGGGAAAAAAACGCCCGAAAGAAAACTGACCCTTCGTTTCACCGTGAACCTAAACGGGTGAATCGAGGGGGTGTGTGCAGACACCTTCACTCTGGTCGAAGCAATTTTCACAGTTACCGATCAACCGCCCGTAACAATATATTTTCCCTGCTTTTTCTTCTCGTTAGACTCCTTGACAAAACAAAGTGAAATGTATCTTATTTCATCCCTGAGACGTAAACCAGTCGAAATTCTTTTCATACTTCCACGATGCTACTATTCTTGTTCACGTGGAATTTATTATTATTATTTGCCTCAATATTATTCTATTTGAGGCTGATGAGGCTGATTCTATTGAGTTGATGTAAAGAACAGTATTATTATTATTATTATTATTATTTTACCATAACGTCGTTCGATTGCAAGAAAACGGTACTTCAGCGCCGATTCGGTCGAGATTTTGGATTATTTATTGGACCAGAGACCCATCTCCGGTAACACGCGAGGGCAGCGCTCTGATACCGTAATCTAGAATGTCTGGATAAGGGGATGAATGAAATTTTAAGGGTGGTTTATTTATCGTCGTGTCTGCTCGCGATAATCGCCAGCTCGAAACCCGACAGATAGATTGATGATTCATACGCGAGCGAAGTGCCCGGAGGCTGAAGTTCCGGGCACGATATAAAATATGAAGTAGTCGGGATTGATTGATTGTTCTACGAGCAATAATAGTTCGAAGACTTTGAGACTCATGTGGAAGACGCGACCTAACGTAGAGTTACTAGGCTAGCTAATTAGTAGTTATACATTTATATGCTGAAAAAATGTAACACATCAGTTAATTATATTGTTCTCGGTTCTTTACTCTTTCGTATATTGTAGCCTTATTTGAAAAATGAAAATGAGCATATATTTTAGGTATGTTAATCAAGTATCTGTATAGAAACACTGTGAATCGAAATTCTTATAGATACGCAGTTCTGTTCAGCATGTAATTTCAATAAAACATGAATAAGGAATGGAGGAAATGAGTAAATCAACAGTTTTTCGAAAAATTGGAGTTTACATACCATTGAACACCCCCAATGAAAATAGCCCTTTTAATAGTAATTAATCATGCATATATCCTCCCTTCCTCGAAAAAGTGTCATCGTTATTGAATCACATTGATCAAATTTTAAACTCTGTCGAGAATATTTCTCAAACAAAAACGAATTTACTCGCAAAAAAAAACACAGCACTCACCGCAACTGATACGCAATTTTAAACATTCTCATCATCCTCCAAAGAATACCCACATTATTCGATTCCGTTGATTAAATCAGAGATACATGAAAAAAAAGTAACAAAAATATCTGATTTCGTAAATACCTGAAGAAAATATGAAGTAAACAGCAGGCGTATTTCACAGCCACGAAAGAATTCGCTTCTCAGGTCGCACACACCATTAACTACCATCCCCGAACGAAATCAACTCTGTCACTGGGACCCATCCATTCGCGGCCCCGTTAACAATTACCTTGTCGAGCGGAAAAAAAAGAAGAAGGAAGCTCTTTCGCCGAAGGAAACGAAACGATAACACGGCGTGTCCCTGTGTTCTTTCTCCCTGGCAACGATAAATCCCGTAGAAAAAAAAAAAAGAAAGGGGGTCGAACAATCGCCCCTGTAACGGATACACACGCTTAATAACGAGAATGGGGTGGGTGGTAGGCGGCACGGATATTAAAGTCGAGTCCACTTTATCCAGGCGGCCGGTTTACAAACTGTACGGCCCCGTAAATCATCGTCGCGCTGAGAGAATCCGCCCCGGCTCGTAACGATCACTCGACGGTAATAAACTGGCTACGATCTTAGTTTAATAATTGTTATTAGCCGCCCCGTTTATCCGACGCCCGTTGGAACTCGCGTGATATCGGTGGAACACTGCGCGGATTATTAACACTGATAATGGTGTACAGTGACTCACAAGTTTGTTCACGAAAGGCTGTCACCTCTATTTGAACAAATTATTTACCAAAATACAGATTCAAAATAAAAAAAAATTGATTAGAAAAAGGATGATGTAAGTTATGACAAGCAGAATATAGAAATAGAAATTGTAGAAACGTTTTTACGCCTAATTTGGTATTTCTGAAGACAGTGAACGAATGTGTGAGTCACTGTATATGTATGTATACGTTCCACAAAAGGCGAAGAAAAGGACCGATTGATAGTGCGTAACGGACGAAACGTACTCTACGGTCTCCACGACGACACTGTCGTATCAATACAGTCGATGGGCGATTATATGTATAGCGAAGTTGTAAAGAATTTTTTGTGGCTGTCCGCTTGAACCATTAACGGTTCCTAGTACTAATGGAAATTCTTAGCATTATTTTTCAGAGTCGATTCACGTTTTCAATTCTTTCACGCTGTTACAAATTCACACACTTTCTGTGACTTATTTGTAATCGTCGTCGCTTCAGAAATAGTCTTTTAGCGTCGTGAAATGTGTATAAAAATTATTAATTCATACGTATGTATTATTTCGAATGTATAACTGGACTGAGAACCGTG